GTCATTTGTTTCCATTATGATTTTCTTCGTTTTTAACATTTTCTAAGAATTATTCAAAGGAAAAATTAAATTCCATCTCTAAAATCTTTACATCGAATAAAAAATACGATTTACACTTGGGTCTTCCGCGCGGCTCATTTTGCAGTAAAAAACACCAGTTTTCGAACCAACGCTGCACTTTCCGACGTTAACCGTATTCTCCCCAAATGCTAGGTTTATGTTGCGTGCAGCTTAGAGTTTTTTCAATTTTCTATCTCTACATGCTTAACAAGTATGAAAAATGTCTCCGCTGTCAAAACACATTAACACGAATTAATACGAAAATACCCACCATCTCTTCATTATAGGATTTGTTGAAAGTCCTTGTTTCTATTATTGGAATTTTATTTCCAATATTCAAACAAGTAAAAAAGTGACCATCAAGACAGATATATACATTCAAGTAAAGTATCTTAAAAAAATTATAAATTGTTTTGTGTTTTGGTTGTGTTTGTGTTTGAAGGCGAAACTATTAGTTTTCGTCTCGGCAAACAAATTGACGTTAAACTTAAGTTTTCTCAATGAATTCGCTTACTGGACGACCTTACATAGGACTTGGTTCCTATATTCGGATTTTATCTAGGTTTGACAAAATACTACGTTTTGCAATGATTTGATCAAATCAAGCCTTCCATTAGCGTGATATAGGATTTAAACAATTTCAAAATGTTGACACTGGAGAGGGCCGATAGGTACCATCTTCCAACGTTATACAGCAGGGCTGTCCACACTAATGCATAAATTTGTTGTGATTGTATTTGTTTCATTAAATTGTTAAAAAATTGTAAAAAAAATAATTTCAAATTTTAAGGAAGAAAAACATTTTGTATTCAATCCAAATATGCTATTAATAATATATATTCCCATATTTTCCTCTATTTCACTAGAATATTGGTCACATATTTCGTCTTCTTTTTTGTCAAGATTATTTTATTTTTTTTCGTTCTGATAATTTTGAAAATATTTTTTATTTGCAAATGTTTCTCTTTTTATTTGTGAGCAATTTGATCGAAAGTCCATAGGACCTATTTTGTTGTTATACAGGCATTGTTAAAATATTATGTTCGCATGATATCAAATTAATTTTCAGCACAATGTGTGGGAGATACCCGAAAGAGAGGATCGATGGGTCCCACCTTTGAACTTGACTTCAGTTTGAAATAAATATTACGTTTTGCTTCTTTGTATCAAAACTGACATTCACTACTATTGGGATTGGATTGACAAATTTTCTGAAGGAGTGGTCCGATACAGGAACTTACGCAGGATTTAATTTCGGGGGGGCCGATGGTGCGAAATGAAAAAAGTCATATTTTGCCTTCCTTAAATATGGGATGGGTAGATGATTAATTTTATTTTAATATACATCATTTGTACGCACGTTAAAGTTTTATATGTTTAATAGAAAATATATGGAAAGGCATTACTAATCGTGAAAATGTATTAACACAAAAATATATAACTTCATTACTCTTAATATATTGCTTATATATTAAATGTTTTGCATATTAAACAAATAGCGTGTATTTGTAATCAAGTCTTCTACTTTTGGATTTTTTAGTTATGTGATCATTATTCACTACAGATTTATGCATAAACAGAATAACGTGGGCTTTGATTTTTTAAGATAGAAGCGCCTTCATATCATTGACATCTCAAAAATGTTGCATCTAAACTTAAACTGATTATTATGTTTATTCTGGGACTCAGGTATGTTGCATTTTTGGGTGTACTCTGCACAGTATTCGGGAGGCTTTACTTCCCCTCAAGGTGATGTCGTCTTCCCTTTCACACAATAAGTTTGTCTCAATGGCCATTTTAACATTATACTTTTGTTCTTTAAATATATCTGAAGCTTGTTTGTGCGTTACATGTTCTATACGTTTTGAAACATCTTTCATTCCCGATATAAAGTGCTGATTCCTCATTATCGCATCTTTGTGGTATACCTTTTTTTAAATGGTCGGTGAATCATTCAAGAGCATCTTTTCAATTTGTAAGAGGGTCCGACAGATGTAATTTTGGGACTTGGTGTTTGCCTCTTCCGTAATCTCCTTTATTTTAAAATAAGATACCGACTTAAAAAATCACCTTTCGCTAAATCTGAATATGCGATACAAGAAACTTGGGGGCTGGGTATAATTAAATTTTTACAAAAAGCTCATTTTGCTAAATATGAATATGCGATACAAGAAACCCGGGGCCGGGTATAATAATATAATATAATGCAAAATTCAAATGGATTATTACAAATCTCAACAAATCCCCCATTGAGTCAAATAACGAGTTGTGCCAAGTTTCATTGCAACATCGACAAATGAAATCATTCTTTTACTTTGTTGTATATAACCGAAAACTTTATATTTATGTTTCCATGTGTTCTGAGACGAGACCCACCATCGAAAGCTAACCATTTTCGAAATAAGCTTTTGTGAAATATTCTAACAAAAGTAATTATTGAAAAATGTATGCGTATTCGAACTCAATGTCTGCAAAATAAGCTGACTGACTCTGCAAAACATTGATGAGAGACCTCTGCACGGAGAAGGGAACATTAAAACCTCTTCGTCCAAATATTTATTAGTCTATTACCTTTGAGTTGTAAAAAATTTTAATCGAAATATTTTACTTTAATACGTTAGCAAGGACAATAACAACACCCACAACTATCCGGTTTTACAACCAATTCCAATAGGGTTGCATCCAATACCAACTGGTCGTGTAAATACGCCCAGATTATTGGTTGTGCAGGGGTGATTATATTGGTAGCGCATTAACATTCTAAACGAACAATGATTCGAACCACGAATAACTTGAAACCATGTTAACGTACACATTTTCTCTATATTCATTTCAATGCAATGTCAGTAACTGTCATTGCATGAACGCTAATGTCAAATACAATTACAGTCGAGATCGGATAAACAAAACGTTTTATCGAATAAAAGCGGTTAATTAAAACAATAATGAAATTACACTCTTCGCTTAACCGAATTCGACTTTACTTGTTATATACCTGCCGAATGGACACAAGGTCAATTGTACAAAGGTATACAAGTCTAAAGATACGACAATTGATACGTAAACAATTTCCAACATATGGACACTATTAAACTATATTGCTAGCTTATAAAATAAAAACATATATTTTGAGTACAGATCTCCGATTTTATTTGCATTATATACACACATTATCGTGTATTGGTTGTTTTATTCTTAACATACCTCTGTTATACCTGGATATGTTTTCATAAACTATTTTGTCAAAATGCATTTTGTCGAGTCTTTGAATTTTTTAAGGAAGCCGCATCAGCAATCGAATACAACAAACAGCTCTTGTCGAATAAAATAAGCGAAAAGTGGTTAAATTAAAAATGCGTTGATGTTGTGGAATACAATTTTTGCTATACTACTACTGGGAGAAATTGAGTTTCAGAATATAGTGCCAAGCAGTGACAGAGGGTATTTTAATGTTTATAGCACCAATCGTTATCAGCGTCCTTTAAATCACATATAAATGTGGTGTTTATTTATTTCATAAACCCACAGCTCTAGTGCGGAGGGTAACTTAAGAAAAGTCCATTAGAAAGTTAAAATATCGATTTTTTGTCTTTGAAGACCTTACTTAAACTCTTATGAGTAAAGTTTTTGTTGAATATTGCGAGAAAGTAAAATCTCATCTTACTTTCACGTCTATGTCTAGACAATGTATGGCGATCGGTATTTTGAGGCATTACAAATTTATGGAGCCACACAAACTTATCATTAACAAATGCATTGACATCATTATGCTGTACGTGAATGGTATATTCACGCCCGCGAACGTGTTAATTTGCATGTCGTAGAAACCACTGTAAATTAGTTTAAGTCTCAAATCGCAATAATGAACTCAGACAGCAATAATTGGGCCATGACCCATCCACACATCTATACGAACCATTTTTAGTGCTGAGGAGTAAAACAAATTAGGCGTTTTTTTTTGCAAAATATGAAATGAATACGTTCTTTATTTACACATTTCATGTTGGGACCGTTGGATTGCTGGGTTACTTATGTACATATATATGTATGTATGTATGTATCTATACATCCACATACAAATAAATTACATTCTAATTAATAATCTACAATTTGTCTAGAAATCTACACTATTCGAAATAGGGAAATATGCTGTTTGTGAGTGCGTTTCCAGTGCATCTCATGGGAGGGTGCAGGAGTGTGTTCGTGAACTTAAATGCTAGTCTTACATATCGGTTACTTTTAAAAAGAATACAATATGAATATGTAAATAACTCTACATAGATTATGGTCGGGTACCAGCATGTGATTGCCGTGCCGTGTCCGTTCTTAATCTCAGTTTCCAGAGTAATTATTTAGCTGCATGCTGTGTTTCGTTTTGATTATGCTCTGATCGTTGTAAAATGTTTAACTAAGTCATTTCTCGATGTACAGAGAGGGATTGAGGGGGGTGTGTGGGGAAATTACATTGTGGGGTTACTTGGGCGACAGTCTCTGCCCTTCGATGACTCCTTAGTAAGGAAAACGGCTTTGTACTTGATCTTGGCGTGGATGCAAATGGGGCTGCTTCAATGTGTTATGGACAGATTCAGTTCTTCGCACTCTTCGGATGGCGGTCAGAATATAACTGTGAGGGGTCTTCGGAAATCACCACTACTTGCCGATGACACTGACGAACTGTTGGCTGTTGGGGCTGGAGCTGAAATGCCATTATTCTGGAAGTTTGTGCTGGCCTGGTTGTACTGGCCATACTGGGAATACTCCAGCTGGCTGTCATTTGGCGAGTGGAGGTGTGATTTGGAGTCGGGTATACCACCAATACCACTGCCATTGTTGTTTGCACCTGATTCAAGGTGGGTCGGTGACGTGTCTCGCTCCTCCAAGTTGGTAGTACTGTTTGATGAAGCGTTGTTATTGTTGTGTGGGCTTGGGCGACAGTCTCTGCCCGTCGATGACTCCTTAGTAAGGAAAACGGCTTTGTACTTGATCTTGGCGTGGATGCAAATGGGGCTGCTTCAATGTGTTATGGACAGATTCAGTTCTTCGCACTCTTCGGATGGCGGTCAGAATATAACTGTGAGGGGTCTTCGGAAATCACCACTACTTGCCGATGACACTGACGAACTGTTGGCTGTTGGGGCTGGAGCTGAAATGCCATTATTCTGGAAGTTTGTGCTGGCCTGGTTGTACTGGCCATACTGGGAATACTCCAGCTGGCTGTCATTTGGCGAGTGGAGGTGTGATTTGGAGTCGGGTATACCACCAATACCACTGCCATTGTTGTTTGCACCTGATTCAAGGTGGGTCGGTGACGTGTCTCGCTCCTCCAAGTTGGTAGTACTGTTTGATGAAGCGTTGTTATTGTTGTGTGGGCTTGGAATACCCAGACCGTTTAGCAGGTGCTGCTGTTGTTGGTGATGTTGGTGGACAGCTGCCGCTGCTGCTGCGGATGTATTGTGCTGTTGAGCCCCATATATTTTCGATATGTCAAAGGCGTAGTTGGCCGCTCTGTCCTGATACATTTTGGAGTCAAAGTAAGCCTTGGTCAGCACACTGGGGTCCAAGTAGGCACTGTAGGCCGCACTGGCCTGGGCAGCCTTAGATGACTCATACAAAGATCCAGCGGAAGCAGCGGAACCGAGGTACGAATTACGATCCAAGGCAAATTTTGGAACCTCCATTTGCGCCGAAATTGAGCTCTGAAAGAAAATGAGAGATGGGAGCAATTAGTACACTCGCAATTATGACAATCTGTTTCAATGTTCTTCACTGGTCCCACCCGTGCACACGGCATTTAGTTCAAATTGTGGAAAACCATAAACAGCAAATCAAACGGACACGGGCAATGGGTATCGATTTACATTTTGGGGATTTCGAAATTAACAATGCGGCCGACCATATTGGCGGTCGGACAGACACGATTCGTAATTGTGCATGATGACACTCCGCTTAATAGGATTTGGAAACAGTATCGCCGCCAGCCGGCAATCACCCCTGGCAGTCTAGTCACCCGCCCTTCACACACCATCAGCAAACATTAAACATTGCTGTGATTGAATCCTTTGGCCGCAATTAAAAACTCAAGTGGGAAGGCAAACAAACAACTCGAATCGAGGCAGGTTCTCTAACACAAACCCGAGGACAATGGAAATAAATACAAATACAATTTTATTGCAATGTAATCGCATTTATTTAAAACGTTTGTTCCCCCTATTATTCACGTCTGCCATAATAACACATTCACACACAGCCACAGCGACGAACGAGGGGTGGCTTCGTTCGAAACGTTCTCACATTTTGGTGAATATGCAGCAGCAACACAACCCTCCGTCGAGCAAAGGGTGTCGAGGCTATAATTACATTGTTAACACATCATCATCATCATCTTCTCCGGTTTCATCGGTGTGTTTGCACTCGCAACGGCACAACATCCGCCCAGTCTGTCGCACACATTCACACAGCCAAGCGCAAACACTGAGCTCACACTTAATGCGGTTCAATGTTGTTTTATCCACGCAATTACAATTCGAAACAGTTTGGGAATTGGGAATTGTAACGACAAATATTGTGATTGCAGTAATCAATTAATTGTGTTGATGTAAACAACACGCTGGTGACTGACGACTCGACTTGCGTTACGTAGATATGACCTCTAGTATTACGCTGGGTATTGGCTACTTCACACGTTGACGCTCGAGGAACTCTGTCATCCGCGAAGCCGGGAAGACACATTTCATCGACAGCCTAGTCGATCTCATCAGAATTTTGTCTGAGCCTATTGTGGTGCTCGGTGCTCACATGGCCAACAAAGACAAGCGGCAGTCTTGGATTTTAATGACATGTTAATGAATAATCCGCTAACAAGACCGTCTTGAGTGAATGCCAAAAAATTCCCGCCCAAAGGAGGCCGCATCAAAAACATTCCTTGAAGAGCGTATCCTTGTCGTATTGCTATTACGATGATTATACGGCAGTCAAACAATGCACCAAGGATTCCACCCACTCTGCCCTTTCACAAAGCAGGGAATAACAGTCGTGTGTACACTTTTGAAATAAAGCCGTAGGTGCTCGCTCCAAAGGATCGTACCTACTGCCTGTTGGCTGTTTCCTTGATTCTTCTAGGTGTGTGGCAGCAAAGCATGACTTTCGGATACGTTGGAGGTACTATTGAGTTAATGTTTAACGCTTCAGGTGTGGAGCACTAGGCTGTCTTTGAAAGGCAGCTGGCATCCTTTTTGGCAGCCACAACAATACGCCAAGTAGGAAAGACTTCGGCACACACGTTGTAGTGCTACTAAGGAAGAGTCGCCAATTCCATGTACTTGTCTCATTCGCATTATGGCGGAAAGGTTGGTTGGTGTCACATGCACAATTCCCCCGGCTTAGTGCATACACGCTGATTACATCAAGTGGTGTGAATGTGTGTTTGTTTATGCATGTTGTATACACATGCCCCCTTTCATGGCAGCAGCATGTGCATGTGAGTTTATTTAAATGGTTATAATTGAAAAATAACAAGGTGTTACCAGCTCAATGAGTGGCTAAACACTCTTGTTAGCAATCGTGAGCTTGGATGACTCGCTGAAATTTAGTGCTGATCAACGCTTGGAGGATAAGGAGCCGTGACGTTCATGGACTGCCACTTTAAGTGGGCGTCGAAAAGTGGGTAGAAAATTATGTTATTAAACAATCATCGGAATAATTTGCAGGTGCGTAGCGGACATCGTTCTGCTCACAACGAAGACAATGAGGCAACATCGAGGCACAGCTTCTGCTGGTCGATGTGTAAGGCTTGGTCGGCTGTTATTGTATTGCTACCGTTCAGCTATACCCTGTTGTCCGGACGAAACATGGCAGAGCAGAGAAATCCCACAACTGAGCCCATCATACATAATTACGTGTTTCCTCTAACAGAGGTACTTCTCCCCAAAACTCACTTACACCGCGTGTTGGCCACTTGAGTTAATTGGTATGTAACCCTTCCTTTGACTATTTCAACTTGTACTCACCTGTGATGTTGGCGGGTTGGTTTGCGTCAGATGACTGCCCAAATGATAAGCTGCGGCCGCTGCTGGGCCCGGCGCAAAATAACTTGGTGTAATGCCTGCAAGAAAGAAGGCGTTCAATAGTTTATTTCTTTATCAGTCTCTCACTCCAGAAAATTGGTTCTTTAGATAACAATTAAATATACAATGGGTCGTCTGCAAGCAGTCTGAATGTAAATCGCTGACTTCATCTAATTGTGATGGTGAATCAGCATTTTCCGGCAGTTACTATTTCTTGTATTCACTGCTCAAGAAAGTTTTTATCAGCTCCCAAAAAAACTGTCCATCAATTATTGTTTGGCGGTCATGGTTCTCCAGCCTTGGTTGGTCCCATGCAAATCACAATAGTTTCGAATCTCATAGACAAGTACGAGAGCAGGACATCAACAGCTCTAACTTCGCAAAACAATAAATGCTGACGCTTGGAAAATGCTAATTACACATCATCGTATTTTTCATTCACTCTCGAGGAGGAGATGTGATAAATTTGCTGAGCTAACATGACGTGTGGACATGAGAAAAAGTTGAGCACTCGGCGTAGAAATAATTGGTTGAAGCAGTCCGGTGCCGAGAGCTCCACTATCCCCACCAGCTGATATATGAAAATGATTTACTTCCGTTTCCAACCCATCCCCCGGCTTGTGTAGTCATCCAGTAGGCCTATTCTGTAACTTTTAACAACATTCGATATTGTTTAAATTTCTTTTGTTATTGTAAAAACAATAAACCAAACAAATGAAATTGTTGTAAAATAGACAATATCGAATGTTGTTAAAAAGTTACAGAATAAAGGGGCAGGGGTGGCCATGACATTCCACAGCAGATACGTTGCCCAAGAATTAATTGTTATAAATAAACTCACCAGCCCGAAGAGCCTCAACGGGAACCGACGGATATGGCATGGGATACGGGTAGCCATCTCTTCGAAGTGCCTTGGGTTTCCTTCGAGGTCTATATTTGTAGTCGGGATGTTCCTTCATGTGCATGGCCCTGAAATAAGAAAAATTACACAATGACATATTGCGACAAAAGGTGCTCTATCGCACCTCTTCACAGACTTACCGGAGTCTCTTGGCTTCATCAATGAAAGGCCGTTTTTCATCTTCTGTCAGTAGTTTCCATTCAGCACCTACAGATATACAGATAAATGAACATAATGCAAATGGTAGAATCATAAACATATAACAGGACCTTGAGAATCCGAAATAATTGGCGATGTCAAGAGAATAATTCAAAACGATGCTACCAAGTTTTGATTCTCTTGCTAACGGTTCATGTTATCGGAACAATTTATAAATAGATAGAACCAAAAAGGAGGAAATTTCAAACAAACAGCCAATGAATATTATCCGACAACTGACGTTTAACTTTCACTTTTCAAAGGGGTACGTATATATATATATATATATATATATATGCAAACACTCCCTCCGACTGTAGCAAGTGGACATGAAAAATTATCAAAGAGCACTACTTGTGTACTTTGATGCCACAACTTCTGAAAAGTGGGCATTGTCACAACGAAAAGACACTCAGATCACAATCACACTTACGAACGACCAAGAGCACATCAATTATCATAGGGAAGAGGTGGGCGACTCTCAATATTTGTATAAGATGTTGCCGGACTAAAGAAATAGAAGTGCAAGGCATCAGAGGGGCTGGGGAAAGATGAGCGCACATGTCAATGGATGGGCGCACATATACATGACTAGCAATAGAAAAATTGCATGTATACGGAATGAGTGACAAACCATTGCAATTGTTAACCGCCAATGTTTCAGATGTACTTAGTTGAACATATTTCTATTTGTCCTACAATGATATATGCAAATGGGTCCTAATTAAATGCAGTTGTAAAGGAATAAGCTTCGTTCGCCGGAAAGAAACAAAAATCGCCACACGGAAAACGTTGGCCGCTTGTTGGCGATACATCCATGCATTACGAGCTACAGAAGGTGATTGATCGGATATATAAAAGTGATAATAATGGAAGCTCCGAGATGGACGGGCTACATATAACGTGGATGGATCCACACACATAAACATTATTACGTAAATTCACTGCAATAACAAAGAACTAAGCAACCCGCTTTCATTTTGACAGATACACCTGTCAATTGCACGTTGGGATAATAAGTTTCTATACAACCCCAAGAAGAACGAACAATGTGTAAGCAACACACAATAGCATCGTTCCCCACCCCAAACGCCTTGCCACTCACCGCCACTGTTAAAAAAACAATAATCGAAAAATCAAAATAATGGAACGAAGAAACCCAAACAGTCCCTGTAAACACAAACCCCCATCGATGGCTACGAACTAAACTCAACTTTCAATTGAATTCTAATCAATTGTTTGGTGTTCCGTTGCCATTGAAGTCTGTTTGTTCTCGACCCATTGTACGTCAGTTTTCATTGTGAAACTTTTTGTTTTTTTTTTTCATAAACTCGTATCTGGTTGATGTGTTTCGTCAGTGAACCGAAATCCACTCAAATGCCCTACGGCATAGTAAGCTCGCCAACCATCCGCCCACCAATCCACATGTAAATTCCCGTCCCTAGTCGATGTTACTGCCGTCGACATTTGCAAAAGTTTAGACCATAGGGAATGTAAATCCACAACTGAACAATGTCTCGATATAAATTATTAATTTTTTTCATTTTTTAAATCAGCAATCTTGTTGTTTATTTCAAATCGACTCAGTTCATCACACGCGATATGCAACACATATCGATACCACGTAACTACATGTATACAACAGCAGTGTATTTTTGTAATAAAAGTTATAAACATTAAATTGAAAAGTATTGAAAATATATTTACAAACATCTGGAGGTAGATATCCAAATAACGCCGTACTTGATTTACTGGGAAATAATTTGTTTGAAGTAAGATTGGGCATTGCGCCAATGAACTCGCTAATATAATGCACACAATTAGAGATAAATCTGAAAATCTTACTATTCTCACCGGCTTCGTTCATAGGAATTACACCTAACCTTAGCCTATTTGTTCCGTTGTCCACCTAATGTAAATATGTTCAATAATGACGATATGTTCCGAACATATTCCCCATAATTAGTTCCCTATATTTCGAAATGTGTCATAGGCTGTATTTAACTTTATATATATGGGCAATATTACCAATTAGTTGAATATTCCTTTTTCAAACAATCGTCTTTTTTGTTTTCATAGTACAACAATGATTTTTGGTATACCTATAGAGAAAAATGTCCTGACTCCGAATCCGAATAGATTTGGGGATAAGAAAAAAATTTGTTTTTGCAAAATAGTCAGGGTGAATCCCAGTTTGTTGTTTTTATAAAAAAACAACTATTTATTAGTTGTGAATGTATGGTATTGTTTGCCGAGGGGTAAGGCGGGGAAGACTATAAAGGTGTGGTATTATTTGTAAATGCCTTGTTAACCTCGAAGTGAGGCTCCAGCGAAATTCTTATGCAGTTTATTTCGTTGGTCAGCTAAGTACTTCGCTTTGTTACAAGAGACATTTGGGTATGAAAGGTTTTTTGTATAGAAGCAATGGCTTCTGGGGAGAATATCCCAACAAAAAACTAAGGGAACTGATGAGGATCAGTGGCGCGATCCGAAACGATAGTCTTCCCCGCCTTACCCCTCGGCAAACAATGCCATACATTCCCCACTAATAAATAGTTGTTTTTTTATAAAAACAACAAACTGGGATTCAGCCTGACTATTTTGCAAAAAAAAAACAAAATACAAATGGTATCCCAAATAAACCGCCAACACTACTGAGATAAGAAAAAATCTTAAAATTACTCCTTTTTTATATTGACTAAAAACGTTCAGAGACAAAAAATGCAGAAACATAAAACGCGAAAAGGTTGCGCATTTTTGCGAAATATGAGAAAAATAATAAAAATATAGGAGATTATGTCATTATTTTCATTATATCCATGATATACATACGCCTAAAAATTAATTTAAAAATTTAATCAGATGATATCAAAATAACACAAGTCGGTGTAGCGGTTTGTAAATTACAGCGACAACAAGACAATATCATCGCGACTACAATAATCTTATAATCGATTTTTATAAATTCCTGTTTGGCTATTAAAGCTGGAAGTAAAGTTCAAAAAACTCTTAAAATCGAGCTTCAAAATTTCAGCATCATTTAAAGGTAGGTCCAGTTAAAATTTTGAAAAATGATACATAAAAGACGTAGTCCTCATTTTGTAGGCTTCTAGTTTTTCTTTAGCGCGAAGGCTCATAAATCGAGACAAACATAAAAAACCTAGGTTTCCTCACTCTGTTGTACCCATTTTTTACAGAAAAGTAGACACAGATTCCACCCAAATAATATCAATTAAACCAAAACTATTCACTTTTGTTCATATAATTAATTAATTCTCGAATTATAAAGTGGTGAACCTCGGCTTCAGGTATGGCAAATTGGCAATATTGCCCATATATACAGTCGAGTACAAACACCGTTCATAACGATTTTTTTTATAACGGACAAATTTTCTAGTCCCGAAGTTGTACGACCTATATTTTCATACACATTTTCACTCTTATAGCGAACCATTCTAATATGGAACTATTTATTTGGTCCCAACTTTCAGTTTCTATATTTTTATTTGCTTATAACGAACACTCTACAATTATACGTAATGCTGAACGATGACAATCCTCACAAAGGTTAATTTTTTAATAAAAAAAAAATTGAAACAGCTTATGTATTGTTAAAAAGGACACAAAACCTCCTACCAACTTCCAACTGAATACAATTTTTGTTTTCTAATCATGTACATGTTTCTAGATTATAAATTCGCAAAGGCGAGGCTTAATGTAATGTTCCATCTTTATTTTTTATCCCTTCGTTCAACATTTTGTGTTCGATAACTGTGAAGTTTTTTTTATAAAAGGTACATTTTATTGCACGTACTTTGTAATAGTGAAACAGCGAAATATTAAAATCAAACCAAGAGTACAAATTTACACACAAATTACGAAAAGTAAAACTAGTAAAATGTTAAAATTATTGTAAAATTGTAGTGCAATTCTGTAAGTATTTTTGGTGTTACCTTCGAATATCGGTAAAATTGAAACACATGCATATATTTCATGTACAAATTAAACATGTACAGAATAGCACTACAGTAGTGTTATTCTGTGACGGGTTAACGACATAATTACCGACGATTGTCGTTAACTGAAAGTTGTCATCTGATTATAATTGAATTAACGAAAATGTTCGGTTAGTTAACGACCAAAATAATGTAATCGTTAAAAGCCCTACCGACGGAAATAAAAAAGTAGACGTAAATTGCAATTTGTACACGAAAAATACATGTTTTAGCTTTACCGATATTTTTCAGCAACACAAAACGATGTTAGAGAATTGCACTACTGGTTGCCATTTCATTTCGGCAAAATGTGTGAAGCTGAAAATAGAAGAAGGGCGTGTCATATACTTGTAAAATATGCTGAGGCATATACACTATGTTCACATATTTCTCACTAGTTGCACTGAATAATGGTTGCACTGAATAATGAACAATTTGATTTTAGTGGGACTTTTTTATTCACAGAAATCACATACAGTCGAGTACGCTTATAACGAACACCGAACTCTTCTTATAGCGAACAAATTTCCCGGTCCCGCAGTTGTAAGACATATTTTTCATACAAATATTTACTCTTATAGCGAACTACGAATATATAATGAACGATTTATTCGGTCCCAGCATTCGTTTTTCATATATTTTTATTTGGTTATAACGAACTTGCTACAAATATACGAAATACTGACGATGACAATCCTCACAAAAGGAAAAAATGTCAGCTGTAATGTGAGATTCATTAAAGAAAACGAGAAGGATCTTAAGAATTGTTAAAAAGGCCATAAAACCTACCATTTTCTAACTGGATATATATATTTTTTTGCCTTACCTTGGATATAACAAACTTCTTCTATAACGAACTAATTTGCTTGGTCCCTACGAGTTCGCTGTAACCGTACTCGACTGTATAAGTTCTTCAATACGAAACATTGAAGACAATTGTTTTGTTATACATTAACATATTGGTATTACGCTGGATATGTTTTATTAGCAAATTCTATATTCTATACGCTTTCC